AGAGTACCTTTTTTTTTTTTTGGTAGTACTCCACAGCATTAATTTAGCAATATGCATGCTGTAAAATTATTATCTCACAAGCAGTGTGATTCCAACTAGTAGCTAGATTCTTCTCCTCTAGGTCCAAATTGATTTATAAGCTTTGCCTTCAACTATCTACCTTGTATTCTCTGCTTATGTAGATTACACATCTAAACAAAATAGAACTACTACTCCATTTTTAAATCCCTTGTCCAGGTTTTTTTTCCCCCCTTTGTGCAACTTGTAGTCCACTTCATCTGTGTGTGGGGTCCTTCAAACTTGTTTTTTAAGTATTGTAAAAATATTTTAAAATAAGAAAATCTCTGCTCATAGTTCACAATCATATAGACTCACTTCAACAGGAAAAAGAAACAGAAAGCAAGTGAGGAAAGAACAGCACCTTTGCTTGACCATTAAATGGTACTTGGTTGGGCACAGAGTACTTCCACCCAGCATTAACCTCCCCAAATCAGAGAAGCATTTCCATGGTGTTCTCCTTGTTGAGTCCATTCAACATTCAGGATTGCCCGTGAGAAAAACTAGGATCCACCACATGACCTGTTCCCTCCTTGCTGCTTCCCTGAGTCTGTGCAGCAGGGGGGCAGAGGACTGCTATTCAGTTTAGAAAGAAGAGTGGAATCGTGATTTGGCACCTGGACTTCAGAACAGAGGGGTGCAAAGAAAACATGGCGAGGCAGCAGGGTGCCTTGGCTTCAACAGAGACGTGAGTAAAGCTGAGGCAACTTGCCAATGGAAAACGGCCTGCTTGTAGCTCCAGCATTGATGGTCCAGATTTGCTTTTGCAGCATTTCCTCTGCACCGTAGTGGGTCTGGAAGTTAGCTGGCCCTGAGAAGAGCTTCAGAAGTCCAATGCTTCATGCATGTATGTCTGCAGGAGGGGTTGGGAAGCAAGTGATGAAAGCAGTATTGTGCTGTCCCAATGAAGGTGCCATTCCATTTGCATGTGCTTTTGCTGCAGTGGCACAACATAGCTTTTGTCGTTTTGATGAATGCTTCAGATCCTGTAGCCCAGCCTTATGTGTCAAGATCCTGAATTGTCATGGGTATTGTCTCTAGAAGAGAAAGGAGCAGCAAGCTCCATACTGCAGCTTCTTCTGTGGCTGGGTGGCTGGCTCTGGAACAATTGCCCCCTTGCACTTTACATTCTTCTAAAGCACTGCTTTTCAGACTTGGCAACTTTAAGATGTGCAGACTTCAACTCTCAGCATGCTGGCTAGGGAATACTGGGAGCTGAAGTCCACACATGTTAAAGTTGCCAAGTTTGAGAAACACAATTCTAAGGCATCCTTCCCCAGCTTAGCCCTTCAGATGTATTGGAAAGACAAACTTTCCTGAAACTTTAGTCAGCACTAGAATATAATAAAAAAAAGTAAAGAGCTGTAATGCTTTTTTCTAATTAGTTTCCATAGCCTTGGTCTGTGAATGCTATATGGACTCACGATCTGCAGGGGAGGCATGAACTGGGCAGGCAGGACATTTTAATCATGGTATACAAGAGCTTTGAGTTAAAGGGAGGTAATCTGAACAAATAAGAAAAAGGGGCAGGTTTAGCTAAATTGTGAGTTCTTCGTACAATTGATTCGATAGCTCTAAAGGAGTCAGTGTTTCTCAACTTTGGCAGCTTGAAGATGTGTGGACTTCAACTCCCAGAATTCCCATAGCTGGCTGGGGAATTCTAGGAGTTGAAGTCCATGCATCGTCCAGTTGCCAAGGCTGAGAAACACTGCTCTAAAGGGATATCTATAAATAATGTATATCAGTCAGAGTACAGCAAAAGGGAAATTAGAAACTAAATATTTACCAATGTTTTTAGCAGTTTTTTTCTTTCTTTGTAGTTTTAAAATACAAATAGCAATTTTTGCACTTGCCCAAAGATTCAAATCTTTTCTTATAATGTTAAAATAACTTAATGTACTTTGTTTTTAAGGTTAAAGTCTCATCAATGATATACTGAGCACTAACTGTACAATCTTAGTAATTCCTTATTCCTGTTGTTCTATTTCTGCATCAGTTGTTTTTTCCTCTTCTTTTCTCCATTCCCTTGTTCATTCTTTTCTTCTTCTTTTTTAAAAAAATGATCCATCAATACATACATTTTTAAAGAATAATAAATGGCATTTGTATATATGGCTCAATATTCATGATTTATACATCTTCAAAATCATTGAAATAGCCTGGGTAAAAGCCAAAGCTATATGAAGAGATTTCTTGCACTATAGGACTTCTGTTACTTTGCTCTGCTCTGCACCCCATCCAATACTTACCGTTAAGTCTGCTCCGATGAGACTCCAAGACCTACGATATGCTATTCAATGCTGGGCACGAAAGAGAAATAATTCTAATGAAAAATTGCACTGACGTTCACCCCCTAGTTGGCTCAGAAAGGCAGCTGGTGAGAGTTTTAAGGTCAATTAATAACTCGGCATTTGCTAATGAGCCTTCCCACATCCCCACACATTCCATCTCTAAAGTATCCGCAACACAGTTTAACATCAACTTGTATTTATCCAGTTTGTCCTGACCCCCTACGATCTCAAATGCATTGTCACTCACCAAGTTTACAGCTCTTTCATAGTTTCTTGTGCTTTGCGAAGTAGTTGTTTTATACTAAGACACTCCTTTTTGCTCATTTAATTTTGCTAATCTATAAAGTCTCTGAAAGTCAGATGCAATTGAACAGGTGAAGACAGAGACTGTTTTTTGACATTACCAATGACAGAAAGGCCTCCTTTTCCCATTATCAAGCCCTGCAAAGCCACCTCCTTATGTGGACTTGAAGCATGAAAGTTATGTGTATATGCCTTGGGGGGGTGTGTGTGTATGCTTATTTTCCAAGTGTGAAGAGAATAAGGAGTTTTTCAGAGTTTGCAATGCACCCCTAGTAGATTGCAACTGGCATTGTGTGATGGCCATGACCACATCCAGTAGTAGATGTGGCGTGGAATCTGCATGTGGTGGGACTTAATAATACTAGTTAACAAAGAACAGTTGTTCAATCCATTTGAAGTCTTTGCAATTTGCTTTAATATATATCCTCTTCATTTCACCCCACAACACAGGAAACAGGAGATAAATGTTGAAATTTCCTCTAGTCTCACGATTCAGTAACATATTTTAATTAATAAATATGCTACATGCTAGGAGCATTTGTTGATGTAAGAAAGTCCATTTGATAGCCTAATTCTAAAAATAATGGATTGAAATGATGCCTTTGTCTCTCCTGCTTTGGGAAAGGCAGTCACAGCCAAGATATGCCACCCAAGAAATGAAGAATTTAACATTCAGATTCCAAATTAGAATTGGCTACGATTATAAGGCGGCTGTAAACATTTTTTACAAAGAGGTCTTAGTCTTGTAGCACAAAGAAGTTAGGGCTTAGATATTCCCATCTAAACTTATCTGTCAAGTTGAAAATCCAGCAAAGCTGTAGTTTTACTCATTGTAATGCAAGGCAAGTCCCAGCTTCCTAGAACATGTCTAATGAGCCAATCCTTTATTATCTGTGCAAAAGTCTCCCTTACAAAATAAATTTAGGAATTAAATTTAGAGAATATTGTTGTGATGTACTTAGTTCACTTGAGATTTAAATCAACCATTTTCCCCCAAAAAACCAGTTTCTCTTTCCTCCCTGCTTGAGAAAATTGCTTTCTGAAATGGTGTTTTCCAGACATCTCTGATACGAATCAGAGATGAAACATACTATAACAGCTGTAGTCTGTACCTGTGACTGCAAGTCTTCTCCATTACAAAATGTTGTAAAGCTGGTCCCCTGAAGGTGGGAATCATGAAGATAAAGAAATTATGTAAGAAAGTTTCAAATCGCTTTTGGGGAACATTTTGGCAGATCAGGTCCATCTCTGCTCTGCAAGTTTTGTAGAGGCTGGTAAACCATTAGCACTGCAGAACTCAGAGCTATATCTTCCCTACTTCGCCCCATATCAGAGGTTACTATTGTGATGAAAATGTCAAAAAGCATAACTTTTTAACCTTGAAAACAAACAAACAAATAAATGTAAATAGAAAACATCATAGGTAAATATTTTGTTTCTAATTTCCTTCTGCTGTACTCTGACTGATGTACAGTATTTATAGATATCCCTTTGGAGCAGTGTTTCTCAACCTTGGCAACTGGAAGATGTGTGGACTTCAACTCCCAGAATTCCCCAGCTAGCTCTAGGAGCTGAAGTCCAAATATTAATATCCATAACTGGGCAAGAGAATATACTAATCACTGCAGTAAAAGATAGCCCTAGCACATAAAAAGAGATCCACATGTGCATTCGCTGACCTATATTTACCAATACTGAAGAAACATTGCCTTGTCCAGGCAGTCCCCAAGAGTCGAAACTGACTCAAAGATACAAAAACAAGACAAAAAAGAAACTTTGCCACTACTGAGTTTGGGGAAGTACTGTATACAACAAACTTCCCCAGTCTGGTTCCCTCCAGATGTTGTAAATGCAGGACAGAAATCCTGGGAGTAGTGGTCAGTCCCAATAAATCTGGAAGGGGTATTAGGGGAAGAGTGAAATATATTACATAAATCTCAGAGCCCCATTTACTTCGGGATTGTGGTTAATAGGTAATTATGAAGTCTTCAGAAACTGTCTTTTTTCTCAATACACTAAGCCAGTGTTTCTCAACCGGGGGAGGCTGGGGAATTCTGGGAGTTGAACTCCACGCATCTTGAATTTGCTAAGGTTGAAAAACACTGCACTAAGCTGTAAAACTTTTCATCAGCCTTCCACTGAGAATTTTTCTTTTGGCTGCCTTTGAAACTAATATGCCTATGTGGTAAACTGGTTTTGCATGCATGTGCTCTCTCTCACACACTCTGTCATTATACCTACTGAAACATCCTCCAATTTTCATTAATGAATCTAGATATAGGAAGGGAAAATGCAGCACAGAGGATGTCTGGACCTGTCTCAGAAATAATGCAGTTCACATCTTTTGCATTGTTTGCCATCATAGTTTTTAATCACAATTAAAAAAGGGATGCATCCCTAGTGATGCAGCTATTGACATGGTATTGGAAGATTCCATACAGTATCTGCTAAATTTTAGACATGTTTGGCAGCTTAGCAAATATCATATGATTGCAGCATCCATGATTTAAATTGCAAGAGTCATATCTTCTCTTCTACAAAAAGTGTCTTTCCAACTATGATGCTACTGGTGTGGGATGGAATCAGATCCCACATGTAGTTCGTGGCCTCTGTACAGGATGATCCCAATTAGACAATTGTCTCTTTTGAGTTCCTTTTGATGGAATGCAGGCCCAGCAAGGACTGCTGGTTAGAAGGGATGCTGACAGACTTTGGGATGAGAAGGATAACTCTTTGATTGGTCCGACGCCATTCATTGTATAATCTACAGTGGTACCTAAAGGATACCTGCAGAAAAAGGAAGAGGAGAATCCATGTTTAAATGAATAAACACACTCAGAACAAAAGTCAAGGGCCCTTTATACTGCAGGTTGCATTATTGTGCCTTCCATCTAATGGCCTCAATCTGAATGATTCTCTTTTAACTCCAGTTCTTCTCAGTTCAATATGAACTTCAAGGCAGTGTTGAAAGGATTAAAAATTTCAATTTTTCTGTCTGCTTCTGTATTCAGTGTAAATATTACTAATATTTATAAACCATGTATTGTTGATGAAATACTTAAACTAGCTTTCCTTTTCTATAGCAGCCCCATATAATAAATAAGTATAATGGAGCTAAAAGATTCATGGTAATATGCCAATCCACTTAGGATCACTTTGTAAATAATTTCGGTGAATTCAAGAGCCTTGTTCTGAACTCAGTGTAAAAAAGGGAAAGTGCTAATAGTTTGGAGTATCATTCATTTTAATATATATTACCTTGCCACATGGCAAGGTAAACCAACCTTCTTCAGACTGGTGTCTGAATTATGCAGTAATACATCTGGCAATGTCTTTCTTTGGAAACATCCAAATCTCATTTCAGACAGATCAATGTATTGGGATAGTACTGACAACATATTTAGGAAGTGGTACACCTAGTGACCCACTTGTAATGAGATTCAAATGATCACGGTTCTTTCAAGCACTTGTAATAGCACTTTTACAATGGCCACAGGACTTTCAAATTCTTCGGTCTGATTGGATGTGTGATAGTGGTGACACAGGGATAGTAGGCAGATTCCACAATGCCATTTCCTGTCAGTCACTGTGCCCAGGACAGGAGGAGGTAAGGACTATTTATAATAATAGTGGGAAGGAACTAATTATTGGGTATCAGTTCCAGGGCCGGTGTAACTAAGAGCTCCTTTTAGGAGGGGGTATCAGGAGAATGGAATACTTGCAGGTCGGTAGATCCTTAGTCACGCGTACAAGACTTTATTTCCATTACCATGACCACTAGTGGCACAATATCATCACAGGCTATCTACATTCATGGGCTTCTTTTTGGGTTACCAAGGCTCTTCCCTAGTAAGTGGTGGCTTTCCAGTAGGCTTCTTTTATATCAGTGAAACAGTAGTTATGTTCCTTGATCAACTTTAGTACTATGCCATTATTTAAGCATAGTTTTTTCAGCAATTTTTGCACCGTAAGCCAGGTTCCCATTAAACATTTAAGACATTTTCACAGGATAACCTAGTTAAGCCTAGTAGGCTGTTTACAATGGGTTCTTACCTTCAGGCAATGCCTAAGCAATGTCAGCCACTGAATTTCAGTAACTCAACTTTGAATTTTGTAAGGAAGGTCTTCTGTTAGTTTGCAATGTTGTTAGAGCAAAATTGTGTGAACCACACAACCATTTCTAAACCTTTTGGGTTTTCTAAAATTTTTTTGATGAAATATTTTTGTAAACTTTTAAAATTATGAGTGATGCTAAACTCAAACTCATGTGTGAAAGTAGGATCTGCTCTTCATCACTTAAAAAAAAAAAAAACCAGGAACTTGGATCCAGGACCCTTCCTGCCCAGAACAGAGATGAGACTTGTTCATTGATCAGGAAAACAATGGTTAGATTCATTTAAAGGGATAATCAGCAGTCTGAGAGAGACAGGGTCTTATTTAGGAATGATGGAAAATAGCTCCTTTGCAAATGTATGGATCTCTGTTCTCAAAATAATTGCTCCACTAAACTCTTACATTATTGAGATACAGCAGTATATTACTCGCCCAGATGGCAGGCTTTGATTTATACATCTCTTGGCTTAATATGAGGGCCAATGTGAAAAAAAAATTAATAACTGCCCTGAGGTATATCTTATGAAAGACGATATATCAATCAACTAAATGTAATACCATAGTACGTCTATAATATGGCCATTAATAACAGTTGGTATCCTGCACCATTGCCATCCCTAATCTAGTGAGTCTAGAAGTGTGAGAGATGATGACAGCTGAAGCCCAACACATTTGGAAGGCATCAGACTCAGAAAGGCCACACCTACATGACAACACTCCACACCATTGGAGTTCTGAACTATCTATGGTGGGATCTCACAGTCAAATTAGGTCATAAGCATAGATTGCAAATATAGTCTGACTAGGTGGCTGGATTCAGCCAAGCATCATGGGTTATGGGATGCATCAGATTCCATTAACCTGATCCAAGTTGCATCTATGATACATTTTGAAACCCTTTACTTGTGGTAACATAAACTGCAGTAAGGCTGCTAATAAACTGCAACTGTTAGAATCACATTTTGAAAACCAGCAGCCTGAGGTCAATATCAGACTTGATCGCCATTAATACCTGGCTTTAACTGGAACTTAAAATCTCGTTGTTTTATATAATGATGTTGGCAATGAGAGTTTGAGCTTTTTCACCCAAGTGCACAAAATGGAAGGAAGATTTATCTGAACTGTGCACAACCTTCTGTCCTGCAGTTGTTATTAGTGGATTGAAAACGGACAACAATTAAATGGCTTTACTAAATTAAAGCAAATATGCTTAAAGAGTATGAACAGTGTATTATAAATGTTTGCCTGAAAAAAAGAAAAAAGTTAACAGGATACAGTGTAAGGACTACTGTACCAGTTCAGTGTCATACCCTGTGCAATTTTGCACAGACTTTTGCTACTGTGTAAAAAAAAAAAAATGATGATTCAGGGTCATAGCATGAAATTACGAAGTATAATTCAAGCACACTGCAAAACTATTATGCAGAAGTCGGCTGAATAGAAACTGGATTGGGATTTGAAATAAACCACACCATAGCAGGTATTTTACTAGTACGTAAGCAGTTAAGTAGCTTGATACAATCTCAGCTGATTGCAGGTCAGAATTCTTTCTTGCCAAATGGGAGGTGCCTGTTCAGGAAAGACATTAGTTCTTACGCAAACTCTCTTTTTTTTTTTTTTCCTGTGGATGGATCCAGAAAACCCAGTCAGCATCGCAAGTTTTACCTGCGGTGGGAAGCTGCAAGAACTTGCAGCTTATTTTGCTGTCCTATTTGAAGTATAACTTTACATGCTTTGAATAAGGGTTGTCTACTTTTCAGTAGAAACTTCTTCCAAATGTTTTAGGTTTACAGTATTCACTGTATTTTTCTATAATTTTGTATAATTACCATTATATATATAATGCAATGTGTGTGTGTGTGTGTATGTGTGTGTGTGTATCCTATTGCACTGAGCCCCTGTTGTTACACAATGGAACTATGAAACCTCTTTTCTGAGCTGGAGAGCGCATGGCCTCATTAATATAGTTCACTCCCGCTGAAGTTATAATAGAATAAGAAAGATTCTCCCACCTGGCAAACAACATAAATCATGCTGCTACCACGCAACTGGAATTGTATTTTCTATACATTGAGGGAGCCCATATTTGATTTAGGCTTATCGCCTCCCCATGTGTGTGTAAAATAATACTCTTGGATGAAAAGCACTTTTAAGATTCAGAGAGAATTTAAGTTGTACAGGATACTGAAGTTTGCAAATTAAGATCCTTATCAGTAAATAAACCTTCACATGCTTCCCCAACCTCTCAATTTTCCAACTTTTTTTTTTGAGAAAGCCGCAGGAAGAGGACAGCAAAGGAAATTCCCAAAGCTTGATGAAAAGGACACTCATAGGATGTTGAATTCAGCTCACCAACTGTAGTTTAAAATGAATATTTATTGGGGTAGCAATTAAGAGGCAATAAAATATGGTCATGGCACATCCCTCCTAATATCTAATATAATTTAAGATGCAGAATTTTAAGAAGCTGTCCTTTTCCATGTACCATATATTGTTTATCTAAATTGGTATTTATGATTTACATTTATTGACTGCAGCAGCATATCTGCTGGAGAACTGTACTGGATAATATAAATAATGAGAAAGATGTTCATTTAGGCTGCCTATTATTCTAGACAGAGTACTCATGCCAATTTTCTCTTCATATAGCTATTTTCTGGAAGGCTGACCATGCAATCTTTATGACGATAATATACAATAATTTTATTGAAATTAAAGGAAGATTCTAGTCAAAAACTATTCCAGTCAAAAACTAGTTTGAGGAATTTCAATCAATTTAAATAGACATTTTATTTATTTAACAAATATTTATTTCTTTATCACCTCAAATCTAAGAGACTCTAGGTGGTATACCAGATCATTAATAATGCTTCTAAAACAGTAAAAAAAATCCTAGATGACTGCCACAGTTTCTCCTAAGAGGCCAAATGAAATGGTTTCTGGTGCCCTCCAAGATGTCAGGAGGGACAAGGCCTACGTCTTTCAACTAAACTCAGCTGTCCTGTATGCTCATCGTAGCTAGGAGAAGCCCCTGGGGACTCTGCATTTCCATTATGGAACTTAGGCAGCAGCATCCCAGAGAATGTTATACGTGTTCCTACTGTGACGGCTTTCCAGAAGTCTTAAAGACTGAATTTTTCCTGAGAGTCTTTGTTGGCTGAATTTAACCTTACTGGTGATTTTTGACAACTATTGTTAGCGACTTATAAGTAGCATTTTTTTCTTTGTGAACATCTTAACGCTATCGTCATGGATGTCTAATTGATGCCTTTTACCATGCATGTTTTATTGTAATGTGTTTATGTAATTCCATGGGTGTTTTAATTTCATTTGTAAGCCTTCATGAGTCTGCATGAAGTTGGCAAGATATAAATTTAATAAACATATACATAAATAATGTGGCAGCCATTACTGAGAAGAGCTGCCTTCTGACCTAAATTCCTTGGGCACACCCTCTCTAGATGTTTGGATTGCATAAAGCTTTATGGGTGATAATTAGCACTATGCTCAGACTAATGGCAACCAGGGCAGAGACCACAGAATGGGAGTGACTCTGCAATAACATTTCTCCTGCTAAGAGTCTGGCCACTGCATTCCGAACCAGTTGCAGCTTCCAGGTTGCCTTGAAAGGCAGACCTACATTAAGTGTGTTGCAATAACATTGAGATGCATGTGTCTCAGCAGCATGCAAAGATCTCCCTTGTTGGATTATGGTATGTGTGTGTGTGTGTGTGATGTGAGTGCATGTATGTATACTGTATTTTTATGTGTATATACACACATATATATATTGATCAGCTGAAATTAAACTTTAACTGAGGTTATCACATTATTTTGAAACTAAAATCCTTCAAGCAAAACGTTGGTCTCAAGATTGAAGATATGTAGAAAGCTAGAGTGCATATAACTGTAAAACAATCCATACATGCAAGCAGACTTAGGGTAGAACATACAATTTTACCTGCTCCAAAATGTATGTATGGAACTGCTGCCAGAAAGCCTTGTTCTATAGCTGCATTTTTCAAACTTGGGGACTTTAAAATGTGTGGACAGAATTCTCCAGCCTGCATGATATGTAGAAAGCCAGAGTCCCCACTTCTTAAAGTTGCAAGTTTGAAAAACACTGTTCTATAGCTTCTTTTGATTTCCTTTCCATGCATTCCACGCATAGGACCCTTTTCGAACAAGTCATTTCCCCATGTGGATTTGGACACAATACCATCCCCAGATTTAGTGTGTCTGAGATACTTTAGTGTTTCTATCACCCTCTTTATAATCTGTTTATATTTTAAACCTATCTTATCCAAAGTCCAAAAAAATGAAAGCAACTTGAAGAATGGTTATTAGAAAGGATATCATGCCTTTCAAAGGATCCATTTAGGACATGCAAGGGGAGCCAAGCACAAAATATTGCAATGTGGAATGAATCTATTCCTTGCCTACTCCTACATTCTGGCCTACTTGTCCACTCCTGCTCCAGTCACACCCGTTTTTTTCTGTATTCCCCCCAGAGTTAATCAATATTTTATAACCACTGATATAGCGAATGACTTTTTCTTATACATGGATGGCCTTCTGGCTGCATGATGATATGTAGTTATCTCTGAACTTCTGAAAGAGAGGGAAGTAACCTCTTCCTTTTTCTTTAATCTGCAGCTTACTTCCCAAACCTGCCTACCTCAGAATTTTTTTCAGGTGTTCATGAGTGCAGAGAAGGAAAGCAAATGACGAAGGATGCAAAAATTGCCACCTCCGTACTACTGTCACGCATTGGGACATCACTGCGTAAGGGTGGATTTTACATCATGATGTCACCATATGCATGCCATCATTTTGAAGCAGTCTCAGTTTGCTGTGACACCTATGTTGGACTGCAATTCCCAGAATTCCCAGCTAGACGGTCTTACAGTGTGGCTTTACAGCTATTTTTCCCTGAGCTTGGCAAAAGTAGTAATACTACTTCCTCCCAAAGTTGGTTCTGTATCACGGAAATAAGATAATAATATGACAGCTTCTTATAGAACTCCACTGTTGGGTATGCAGATAAGACAGCTAAATCACAATCTGAATCAACTGGCTAAGGTTATTTTTGGTAGTATTCTTAGTAACAGCATGAAGTAGGTCAAATTGGAGATTCTAAATAGGGCTCCCCGATCTGGGAGGCAAAAATCCACATGACTACTGAGGACAGCAAAGGATTTATAGTTTTTTTGTAACACTCTGTTGCTGTCTAGTGGCTGTGTGGATTTTTGCCGTCCAGATTTCATTGCCTTATTATAAAGATTTCTTCAGTGCCAACAATTCATAGGGGGATCTCGTAAGTCCGCATGCCTTTCAAGGCAGGAAATGGAGTATCAAACAGCATTATGAATGCTGGGTAAAACAAATGTGGCCAGTCTAATATGAAATGCTTTAATTTATGCAGATGTTGTGCCGACAGTGAATTCCTTTTTCCAGCCTGGAATATTCATCTTATTAAAAGGGTCTTACAGTAAATGCCAAAGTGAAAGTGGGTGAAGTTTTGAAAAAGAAACCATAATAGGGTTTGAAAAGCAAAGCAATGAAAGCACAGAACAAGACAAACCAAATATGCACCCTATTTTTTTTTCATCCCAGTACTCTCCAATTAAAGTCAGCAAGGGGTCTACCATGAGCAAAAGTGGAAATTATAGGTGTAACATATTATTTGGGACTGAAACAAACGTTTCCAACCTTTGTTGTTTAACTGACTAGGGAAATATCACCCAAATATCAGAAAGTGGGTGATCTTCCAAAGTTAGCATATATTAATAACAGTTTAGTCAAACAGGGAAATTGCAGAAAAATTATGGAATTAGGAGGTATGGACAGGAACAAAAGAAAATAATTAAGAATGAGTGATGGGAAAAACCACTGCACTTCTACTCAGATGTAATTCTCGTTGAGCTTACTACAGCTTACTCCCAACTAAGGATGTTTAGATTGACAACCAGAAATAAGGGAGGGGAAAAACAGGTAACGAGCAAAAGTTAGTTTACATCATAACAAGATGAATATCAGGGAATAACAGACAAACAAGAATGGGAAGATAACTGACCACCATTCCTTGCTATGGCAGATTATGCAGTGATTGTTTTGTTTCAATAAATAACTTTCTACCATAAAAGAAAACAACAACAACACAAACTTTTATAGATTAGTGACTACACACTGCTGAAAACAACAGTGAAAGTAGGACTCTCTTACAGGGGGAAGATTAGGTAGAACATGTATCCTTCTGCTTATGGAGGGGACAATATTTTGTATTTAATACTTTTCAAGTCTTTCTAGTGGTATCTGTGCAGTAATGATACCTTCTCCCATGACGCTGTACCCTGTAAATCTGTTCTTGATGGCTCCTGGATCACAGCGGGCACATCTGGGGAAGCACAAGCGTCTAGCATGCTTGAGAGAAAGGGGAAGTGTTCTGGCATGAGCGGGAATCATGACACTGGATGCAGTTCTTTTTCTTTCTTTAGCATTTCCTACATGGGTAACTCAAATTGAAAGTTATGTTGACTAGAACCTATATAAAAACATCTATCCTACATTGACATTACATGAGAGAGCACAATAAGTAAAAAAGCGGTTTTGTTTCCTTTATGAAAGCACTTGTGGAGTTGATGCATCTCTCTGCTGTAGGAGACACTACTTCACACTTGTTTATCAGTGAAAATCAATCAGCCCATTTTAAGTAATTCAACCATTCTAAAAGGGTCACATTCTCAATTTTTCCTTCATATTTGAGACATCTGGATGTCTAGAGGAAGAAAAACAGGTTGTGTTTCAAAATATATTAGTGTACAAGGTTACATGGTAAAAACTGTTTAGCAGTGTTTAACACAGCTTTCTCATTCACACGTTTCACTAAAAGCTCCAGACTTGTCATTCTGAACTATACTGAGCCTTAGAAAATGTTTTTTGTTACCCAACATCAAAAGAAAAAGACAGCTCAGATCTTTCCTACTATAGCTTCTTCAGAGCACTATAGTTTGTTGCTCCTGCACAATGTCCACAAAAGCTTATTTAGGAAAGATGAGCAACATCTCAAGTTTCTGGTCTGGAGGCAAATGCAAGTGTCTCACAGAATTCACATTAGGATGAGAAGCAGGCTTGTATAAAGTGAATCTCTCGCTAACACTGCCCATCCCACACAACTTAGAGAAAACAAAGCATACTGGGTAAGAGTTTGGAGCTTTCCCTTCAATTTGCCCATTATTAGTGCCAAAATAGAAAGGGAATCTGTTTGTCTTTTCTTTGTTGCATAGATATGATGTTAAAGTTCCCTTACTCAGCAAATATTTTGCTGCCTATTTTCCCAGCATTGATTCTGTTTCAGCAGCTCCCCCCCACCCCCATTTACTCAGTGTAGTCTGTCTAAAGTTCCTTCATTAGGCTTTTCCAAATACCGGCTTGGATCCAAGGCCATCTTTCTACAGATGGAAGGACACTTTCTATCTAAACAATGCTCCCAATACCACCAAGCATTTCTGTAGTAGAAAGGGGGAAGAGGTAATCAAATATGCCCTCAGTCTGAAGTCTTTATCATTTCTAAAAACATATTCTGGAACAGTGGAAATGTACAGCAAGAGAAGGAGGGAGAGAATGTTGCAAAACCACCTTCTCCCATTTCTATCATCCAGGAACATTCTAAGAGGAACTACTGGAACACAAGCCATTCTAGATCCAACCTAAAATGACCAAATTTTGTGTGTATGCTATTGATTTCAAGATATAATATGAAGCTGTTATTCTATTGAAGAAGTTTGATCTCTTCTCCTAGGACAGTAACAGTCACCAGATCTTCCCAAAGTAACATTATAAGATTTCTCATACTCTAACGTAAATGGAAGTCAAAACAAAAGACTACTTACTAGTGTCCAAAAGAGGTAAATTGTGAAGAGTGCGACAGTGAGTGCAATGAGCCCAACAGCTTCTAGCCTACTACTAAAGTGCAGATGGTCCACTGCTCCCCGCAGACACAACCAGCCAGAGATAGTAGCCAATGGAGTTATAAACAAGAAGCACACCATGTCCCCAAACAAAGTCCGTTTCTCATGCTGGGGGCCAGGATTTCTTAGCCACTGCAGAAAGAATCAATGCATAGTCAGTCACAACAAAAGGCATTCATTCAACTAAAAAAAGTCATTTTCTATCCCATTTGTACAATGTATGTTTTAATAAATAAAAGTAAGGTCACATAAAAGGCAGAAATTGGTTAAGCAGAAGTGCTTCTGTATCTCAGCTGGCATGAGGCAGGATTTCACTTTGATCTTCTTTATATTACAGCAAGTGTTCCCATTTGCTTTTTCATATTTGTAATGTAATATTTTCAAAAACTAAAATTATTTTAATATTGCTAAATAAATAATAGTATTCACAGTATATAAGGCAAAGCAATCCCCCCCAGTGTTATTCAATAAGTGCTTATTGATAGTTCTTACAGTAAGTATAATAATTTGTAGGTCATAAGGTGTGTCTATATTTATAAAATTGTGAGTATATGTGGGTATAAGCTCAAGGAACAACAATCCTGGTATTTACATTTTGACAAATCCATGGGGAAAGACAGAAGAGAAAGCCATATTTGTAAAAGATATTACTAAAACATGTTTAAAGCAGCAGATAATTATTAGAAAGTTACAGATGATAAAGATTATTTTATAGTGCTGGAACACTTTGACAGGAAGAGTTTTCTATCAAGCTTGTACAGTATAGGCTACTTCTACCACACACAAAATTCATTTCTTTTATTTTTACAAAGAATCCTATATATGTCTAATCACAGATAAATTTTATTGTTTTCAATTAGGGCATATATGTATGTATGTATGTATATGTGTGTGTGTGATATATAATAACAGCCTTATATTCTTTGATTTAGATCCACATATATATGACTAAAGGAGGATTCCTACTGAGTAATTGCAAAATTACTGTTATTTGTTTTATTCTTGTGATTTTTAAAAATAATATACTACATTTATATCCTGTTCCAGTCATGGTCCTGGCAACTCACAGAGATCTCAGATTCAAAAGGTTGTCACCTTTGCTTCTCTGAACCAAAAAAACATAATGAGCACTAAGTTATTGTAGCAAAGGTATGAGTTTGGGGATTTTAGACTTTGCTGACAAGTGATGTGAAGTTTGGAGTGAGCACCCAAATTATTTAAGATGGTCAAAAGGAAAAGGGACAGCAAACAATGCCAAAAGACTTCTGCAAATGTTGGTGAATTAGCATAAAATGATGCATGTGTCTTAAAGTATGCAAGAATAAAATGAAGCAAAAGATTCTAACTTCATATAACTTGTATAAAAGGTGGGGACAGAGCTGAAAATGACTAAGAAAGCAATCACAGAGGATAGGTAAATAGCTCAGTAAAAATATCAGTAAGATATATGGCTGTTGCAAAAAGGCTAAACCCAAGCTAAAAAAGGAAGGAAAGGAAAGGAATCAGAAAATTAAATTGCCAATATTGTAATGCCTTTTAAGAAGCTGAGGATGCTGTTACACTTCAAATACTGTGTACAGTTCTGGTCATCACACTTCAACTACAGAGAAAATGGAGGGGAAAAAAAACAAAAAGCCCCAAACAGCTGTGGCAAGACTCCCTTATGGGCAAAGAGAATGCTTGTGGCTCTACATTAGGAATAAGAAGGGATGCAACAGAGATACTGTATATAAAATTATGCTTGGGGTAATAAAAGTGAACATGGATCACAGACGTTTTCCTCTGATCCTCATAATACTAGAACTTTGAGATGATTCAGTGAATTCAGAGAGACTCAAGGGAGGGAAAAGAAATGCTTTGTCATACACTATTTGATACCATAATATCAAATGGCCGCTAACTTGGATGACTTTAGAAGTGTCTTTAGACCTCAGAAGTGAGATGATCATAGGCCCTAATGAGAGCTGTATGAATTCCAGTATAATTTAATTACTGCCTTCATGTGCACCTGCACCGGCACTGAATAAGTCAATGTGAGAAATAAAATGCTAGATTAAATAAGCCTAGATGAAGCCAATCCCGTTTTTCTTATTCTTTAACGTTCAGTCTCAGAAATGTAGGTGTTGTGTCATCTGAGAACTACTGAAGGAAGCACTGAAGTATAAGCCTCACACCTGACGGTTTCCTGAAAGTTATGTCATGGTTGTTCTGAATCCATCACTAGCTACTGTTTGCAAGCATATTATCTACCTCTCTTTGAACTGCCTATATAAATAGAACTATTTATAAGGATTTAGTATTGATTCATACATGAATGCTTGTCACTTAAATAACGTACAAATTCTCTGCACAGGTGAGATGCACAGGAGTTAGGAATGTTCTCCCAGTAGTCTAGGACCTTTAATCACTCTTGTGCAAAACATGCCCATTAGTAGATGTTGTAATCACTGAATAATGATCAGCATGCATTTGTGTATAATTTTTTTAAGGGTTACTTCAACAACACTTAAAAATATTATTGCACCTCACTTTGTGCTGTCTGTCATCTCAAGGTTGGTTAAAGAATTTAGCAAGGCAGTTGGGAAATAGATATTTTAAAAGAGGAAAGAAAAGTATTATATTACAGTCAAACAGCACTCTCACAGAGATTTCAAAGGAATTGTATAAAATGATTCAGGACTCTATTGCAAGGATTTATCTCATTTCCTTAGAAAATACTGCTGAGGATAGCAACTGGATGTGGGTGCTGCTGCAGTCCCAGGTACAACTGAGTTATTTCAGCATGACTGATTGCAACTTACATCTTGTTCAATTTCCATGAATCCTTGTAATGAGAAACCAAAAGACAACCAAAAGGAAATGGAAATGCCCAGAAGAAAATGGGGAAGAATGCCAAAGGTGACATTCCGAAATTAGTGTAACGGTAAGTATTTGACACGCAGATGTAGATAATGAGCATCTGAGCTTTTCATTGATCGCTATGTGAACTGCAGGAACAAGGTAGGCATTTAATTCACTGAGAAGTCTCTATACTGTATACAATCCCATTGAATGACCTTGCATTCTCTGATCTCTTGCTTCCAAATCTCCTTTATTCAATCTGTAAGCCACACTTTTATATGTAAGACACTGGAATGAAAAAAATTGTAGTTTGACTACCGAAATTATTTTTCCCAATCTGGACTGAAAGGCCACATTGGTATACCCTGAAAGGCTGCAGGCCAGATCCTGGTTTATTATAATATTTGTTGTTTGAAAAAAAAAAAACCCACAAAAACAAAACTAGGTGTTACGAAATAAGGATGCTGTACTTGAAAGGCATGCCATAGAGGCATGCTGAAGAGAAACTGGTCTACTTTTATGGACAGACACTCTATGTGCTATAGACTTTAAACATTCTTTTTTAGAACTACCAGATCTGGGCTGCAGAAGCTGTGAGTCGGAGTTTTCTGCTTCTCTTTGCTCCCATCTAGTGGTCATCTGGATTTCTGCAGGCCAGATTTGGTAGCCCTATTCTCTCTGTTGCAGCTAGACCAATTTCTCTTCAACTATAAAATGCTCATCAAGTGTAGCAATATATTATTAGGTGGCATGCAATGAGAAGATTGTTTTCTTCTATGATCCCTTCAGTATGGGGCTGTTGTCTTGATGTACTTCCCACCTCCTGTAATGATGCATATTTTGCACATCAATAGGGCCCACTTCTCTGGTTCCTATCACTTGCCTGCAGTGAACATAGATAACTCAAAATCATAACAATATTGCCTCTTCACAAGCTTAGCCGTTTTTCCAGATACCAAAGCTCAAGTCATTCAAGTCCCTGCCTATTCAAGCAGCACCATCTTCATTGAATCATCAAGTTCCAATTTCCAGGCTGGCCAGAAAATCTTTTATACCTTCAGAAAAATAAGTCTACATTTTCCTTTCAATTAAAATGAATGCAATGTTATATATCCATTATCACAACATGGCATGTACTGTATTTTTCCTGTATGTTTCTATTTGAAATATAGTTCAGAATGTATTCTCAACTGATTTTGCAGAAGAAAAAGTGCAGAACCATACAGATGGATATCTGTAGAAATAAATTAAAGATACAGAAAACGTTAGAGAGCTTGGTGATCTGTTTAGCTTGAAATATCACATAAACGGATGTCATTTTCCCCCCTTCTTTCTGCATACCTGCTTAAGTGAAAAAAATCTCCTTTAATGATCTTCAATAGTGAGAAAGCTAGTAGAGTAGGCAAGGCAAGAATATGTAGTTTTCAATCTTCATAACAAATTTGCAATAATAACATTCCATCCATTCAACCAGTCAGCCGTTTGGAATGTTATTTGTATTTCTGCCATATAATCAGTATGCACTGGGGTAATCAATTACATATTCCTGTTTATTTAGTAATTATATTTCTTTAATGCACTTTGGAGCAAATGCCCATTAACTTGATTTTGCAGACATGTGTGATCCAATACAGTGCAGCAAGCCCTTCTTTATATTTTACTGGGTATCTATCTATCTATCTATCTATCTATCTATCTATCTATCTATCTATCTATCTATCTATCTACAGTCTTCAATTTCTGCCACATGG